ATCTAGTTCTTTTTTTAACCCTGTTAAAGTCCTGGTCTTCACAACATCCTCTGGCAAGGAGTCCCACAGATTGACTGTGTGCTACTTGAAGAACACTGTGTGCTACTTGAAGAACATTTCCTTGTTTTAAACCTGCTGCCTATTAATTTCATTTGGTGACCCCTAGTTATGTTATGGGAATAAGTATATAACTTTTCTGTATTCTGCTTTTCCACACCAGCCATGATTTTATAGACCTCTATTATATCCCCCCCTTAGTTTCCTCTTTTCTAAATCAGAAAAGTCTGAGTCTTTTTAACCTCTTTTCACATGGGACCTGTTCCAAACCCCTTATAATTTTTGTTGCCCTTTTCTGAACCTTTGCGTGCCAAAATATCTTTTTTGAAATGAGGGAACCACCTCTGTATGCAGTATTCAAGAGGTGGGAATACCATGGTTTTATATAGAGGCAAAAAGATATGCTCTGTCTTATTTTCTATCCCTTTTTAAACGATTCCTAACATTCTATTTGCTTTTTTGACTGCCACTGCACACTGAGAAGATGCTTTCAGAGAACTATTCACAATGACTCCAAGATCTCTCTCTTGAGTAGATGTAGCTAAATTAGTCCCCATCATATTGTATGTATAGTTGGGATTATTTTTTTCAGAGTGCATTATTTTACATTTATAAACATTAAATTTCATCTGCCATTTTGCTGCCCAATCACTTAGTTTGGTGAGATCTTTTTGAAGCTCTTCACAGTCTGCTTGGGTCTTAACGATCCTGTGCAGTTTAGTATCATCTGCAAATTTTGCCACCTCACTGTTTACCCCTTTCTCCAGATCATTTATAAATAGGTTGAATAGGACTGGTCCCAGGACAGACCCTTGGGGGACCCCTATAGTTACCTCTCTCCACTCTGAAAACTTACCATTTATTCCTACCCTTTGTTTCCTATCTTTTAACCAGTTTCCTATCTTTTAATCCATGAAAGGACCACCTCTCTTACCCCATGACATCTTACTTTACTTAAGAGCCTTTGGTGAGGGAACTTGTCAAAGTCTTTCTGGAAATCTAAGTATACTATATTCACTGGATCCCTCTTGTCCACATAGTAACATAGATGTAGCCATGTTAGTCTGGTCTTGCAGAAACAAAATACAGGACTATGCAGCACTTTAAAGACTAACAAGATGGTTTCCACTACCTCAGATCAAATTGTGGAAGAAAATTGGCATGATCATATATACCAAAGGGATACAATCAAAAACAATTTAATTTTAATGTCAATTTTAAAACTCATCACCTAATAAACCATCTTGTTAGTCTTTAAAGTGCTGCATAGTCCTGTCTTTTGTCCACGTGTTTGTTAACCCTCTCAAAGAATTCTAGAGTAGTGAGTCATGATTTCCCTTTACAGAAACGATGTTGACTTTTCCCCAACAAATTATGTTCATCTATGTGTCTGACAATTTTATTCTTTACTATAGTTTTGACTAATTTGCGGGCTACAGATGTTAGACTTACCAGTCTGTAATGGCCAGGATCACCTCTAGAGCCCCTTTTAAATATTGGTGTCATGTTAGCTATCTTCCAGTCATTAAGTACAGAAACTGATTTAAAAGATAGCTCACAAACCACAGGTAATAGTTCCGCAATTTCACATTTGAGTTCTTTCAGAAGTCATAGGTGTATGCCATTTAGTCCTGGTGACTTGTCACTGTTAAGTTTATCAATTTGTTCCAAAACCTCCTCTAATGACACCTCAATCTGGGACAATTCCTCAGATTTGTCATCTAAAAAGACTGGCTCAGCATTTCTCCCATCAAACTTCCACTATGAGGACAGCACTAAAGCTCAAAAGTACTTAAATTCTCTTAAAGCTGTGTGGCGTGGGGCTGAACAGCTGCCTAATAAGCACTGCACAAGGGCTTAGGATCACTGTGTACTGAGGTGCTGTGGCTAGGGAGAGGCACAGGGCTGTTACTTCTTTAAAATCTGATGTCTCAGGCATTCACAAGACTACAAATAACGTTCGGATCCCACTGGGAAAAATGGAAATTTCCCCTTCATAATCAAGTTTCCATTTTTAGACTTGAAAGGCCACAATTATGACATTTTGATTATAGAAAGCTTGACAAAAGTCCATTCTGGGCCTCTAGCAAGTACAATTTTTGGTGAAATTTCTTATTTAGGGGTAAGAAACATTTCTGTGGAAGACTGTGTGTTAAAATAACAACGTTTGTTTGAAATTCTGTAGGCATTTTGAATATTAAAGTTCAGGAAGATGAATTAGTGATCAGATAATATGTTCATAGATATGCAATACACTGAACTGATGAGAGAAAAATTTAGCAGATGAATATCAATTCTACTTTCATTTATACACAAGGGCTGTGTCTAGACTGGCCAGTTTTTCCAGAAAATCAGCCGCTTTTCTGGAAAAACTTGCCAGCTATCTACACTGGCCACTTGAATTTCCACAAAAGCACTGACTTCCTACTGTAAGAAATCAGTGCTTTTTGCGGAAATACTATGCTGCTCCCATTTGGGCAAAAGTTCCTTTTGCGCAAAACTTTTGCGCAAAAGGGCCAGTATAGACAGCCGAGATTTGTTTTGTGCAAAAAAACCCTGATCGCAAAAATGGCAATCGGGGCTTTTTTTGCGCAAAAGCACATTTAGATTTTTGCAGAAAAGCATCCGTGCCAATCTAGATGCTCTTTTCTGAAAATGGTTTTAACGGAAAACTTTTCCGTTAAAAGCATTTCCGGAAAATCATGCCAGTCTAGACGTAGCCTATAACTAAATATCACAAGTGACAAGGCTTTTCTTATTGAAGTTATCCTTATAAAGTTGATATAAATAAATGTTAAATTATTCTTCACTACTCCCCCCTTCTCCTTAAAATTCCATTACATTAAACAAGCAAACAAGTGATAAAACAGTGGCAATTCACTGAATACCTGAGTCAGGCAGACTACTGAAACAGAGACAGTCTCTTATTACAACAAAACTGATTTCTACAAATGGCCTGGAACTTCATTTCTTCTGCGACAGAAGATTAAGCTATTGGTCCCTGAATTCAGTATTATCCAGAGAAGTTGAAAAGCAAAATCTTGTACATATTACTCTATCATCCTTGTCATCACTTAAACAGGCAATCAGAAAGATGACATGTCTGCTATTACTATTAGTTTCTAAAAGGCTATGTCTACACGACAGGGTTTTTGCGCAAAAACTCACAAACTGCCCACATCTCAAGCACGTTTTTGCGCAAGAAAATTTACAGTAAAACAGCAGAACAGAGGGCTTTTTGCAGTGTAGGTATACCTCTTCCCACAAGGAATAACTCCTTTTTGCACAAGAGTTCACACACAAAATGGTGTGTGTGGATCCTCAACAGGGTCTTCCTGAGCAAAAAGAGCCTATCAGAAAAAGCACAGGTGCTTTGATGGCCATTCTGTGAATGGCCATCAGAGCTTTTTTGCACAAGAGTGTCCATGCAGTGTGGACACTCTCTTGCGCAAAAGCACATCGCTTTTGCAATGCGCTTTTGAGGTGTGGACGTGCTTTTGCATAATACGTTTTTGAGGAAGATCTCTTCTGCAAAAATCTTCTTGCGCAAGAACTCTGCAGTGTAGACAAACCTCAGGTGCCACAGAACTCCTCGTTGTTTTTGCTGAACCACTGAAATTTAGCCAACCCAATTTAAAAGATTTCATCCTGAAGGCTAGCAGGTTTTGTTAATTTTCTGTAACTGCCTCTTAAGGTTTTGCTTTACATAAGCCAATCAACCTTTCAAGTATCAAGTAATTTCAATATCAAGTAATTTTCTCCACTACAGAGGGACAAGCCTTAAAGGGTTTGAAATTTCTGCTGTTATAAAGAAGTTTCATGTTTAGAGATTACTGTATCTAATGAGGATAAAATATGTACAGTCTAAAAAAGTAATCACCGGAATAAAAAAAAGATTTATTCCCATGTTATCATAAAAAGCATCCTAGGAAAACAGATAAGTCAGAGTTCTTCAAAAGAAGCAAACTTCAAGGAATGAAGATACTGTAGTACAAAATTATGGCCAAAAATACTGTATTTTTAACCAGCAATATCATTTGGGGGCAGTATTTACACAGTATTAGTTCTTTTCAAAAACTATTTCTCATCCCCAAAAAACAGACAATACATGCAATTTAATGACATTTTAGGAACAGCAAGTATGATTTTTTTTAAATACTGCAAGTTAAAAATGTATCTGACAAACCTCCCTAAATATACAGGTCAAATAAAGACTACCTCCAGGTTGGTATGCAAAGAATCCAGTAATAAGTATAGATTAGAGTATCCTTTGAAAAAGCAATTCCTGACAATCAGATTTGTCTGGCTGATTTTATCTAATAGTTTCCCCACCATCACATTAATATTCAACTGATTAATCTTTTCTTTTTTAAGAGCTAAAGTGTATGTAAGAGTTATAATATTCCCTTTATGCAGCAAAGCAATGACTCCATGGGATTTTTACTTACACAGTATTAGTTTTTTTGTTTGATGTAACTCAGAATCATATGGCTAAACAAATGTGTGACGAGTGAGGAGAAACACCCCCAGAAATTTTGGACATATGGTTTTGAGGACCTGGTAGGCAAGATCATTACTGAATTGACCCTAGGATATGGATAAAGGACATAAATTACTAGTGCATACTAAACTGTTAAATATATGGATTATACCAAAACCAAGAACTGTATTTACAAAAAAAGCATATGTCTAAATGTCCAAAATACAGCAGTTAACCACATGCAAGAAGCCACTTTAATTTTCTAGTCAGATGGCAACAACATGATGAAATCCCAAAGACACATGTGGACTATATAACTGATTTTTAAACTAGAGGTAGGTCTTTGGTATGCCATGTTAACATATTGTGCACACATTATTAATTAAGCAAATTAATGTAGTAGTTAGTATGCAGGGTAATCCTTATATAGAGTTTCAAGAACAGCAGCACATATAATAAATTATTTGGGTACATTTTATTTTCTTCGAGTGGGTTAACATGTTTTTGTGTTTTCCTATTATTTCAATCTTTTGTGAGGAATGCAAAACAAGGGAAGGGGTCATGACAGTGAGTACTTTGAAGGTCATTTACATCTTACAACCAAAAGCTGGGAGTTTAGCAGTATCTTAATATGCAGCCCTTTACCCCCCATTTAAAGTTTTTGCAAATCACACAGTCAATTCTGACTGATATCCAGCATAAAACGTCTCTTCTCAACTTTCAAACTTAAAAAAAATTATGGTTTACAATCATGTGGCAGTATGATTAAAATTACAGTTCATACACCTTGACAATCAAAATAGTCTTAATTATAAAAAGTAAAACTGCCCTTATAGCTATACTTATCCTCTACCTCAGGACAGTGCCAGTTAATTTGTGAAAAAGGCAAGTTTATGGTTTTTGTAAAACACATATTACAGCTTTCTTGTGCTAGTGAACTTCTAGTATACACAAGTTTCCAAGAGGTTTTCTTTCCCTCCTCCCCAAGCTACGACATTCAACAAAATCACATTGTTTTGGCAAAGTTGAAAGGGTTTTTGTTTTGTTGTTTTTTGCCCTCAGCTTCATATTAGAGGCACAAACGTCTGCTCTATAAGGCATAGTAGAAACCAAAAAAACCCCAACAACAAACAAAATGAAACAAAAAACAAAAAATAAAAACAGCAAAGGATTATATTGCAAGTGGGAACAACTGTGTCATTTAAAAAAGAAAAGATGTTTTCTGTAAACTGGAATACTGAATGATGTGTTAGGTGATTCATGAAAAGCTGCCTTGGCATTTTGAAGATTTTCCCTCCTTCCCGAACATGATCAAATGATCTAAATGTTTGCCACAAGTCCAAATTACCTAAAGCATACCAGAAGTATCCCAGCGGCACACACACTGGAAAACTTTGGCAATCACAATATAACTACAAAGTAAACTTTTGTGGGTTTTTTTGGTTGTGGGGGGAGGGTTTGGTTTTATACAAAACTTAGAATCAACTCTTCCCTCCCACTCCAGCCCAAGCCCTTGGAAAAAAAATCCATAAACAAAACAAGCACAATAAGACCTCTTTTAGGCTCTCGTGGTCTCTATTTCCTACAATTCCATTTAGATCACCAAATCTGGGATTGTCATTCTATTCCTATCTTAAAAGAAGGGATATTATCATGTACCCCAGAATCAACAATGGAAACAGAAACTCAATTGTGTTTATAGAAAATTAAAGAACAATTTTATAATGCCGTATACTGTATAACAAAACTAACTTCTGATTGTCCATTTAGAACTTCAGTGTCACTTTTTATATGCGGTATCTACCTGCTGTAGCTTTATTTATAAATAAAATACCTTGACTCACTGGACACTGGTGACTTTTTTGTTTTGTTACATTTAAGATTTTCATAACCTTTCAAACACTATCCCATTGGAGTTCTCTATTATGCTTTTTCATATTTTAGGGAAGTGGTGATATATAACTGTTAGTACATTTGTACAATAGGCTACAATAGCTTCTAAATCCACTTTTCTAATAAAAGCTATCAGAGAGGTAAGACTAACCTGCTGCGCATTTGCCAAAAAATTCATATTAAAGAGCTCACATTCCAATCCTAGGTCATATGGCAAAAGATCTTCTAACAGGTGGTTTCTACATCTATACAAAGCCCTGTCAAAACTCAAGCATTATTTTGAGAGTGTGACCTCTGGGTGTTGTTTTCAATTTCTTTCTACTCAGGAATGTGCAAATGGTTTTATACAGCATGATGCTAGTACCGCTCTGTACTATAGTAAAGTATTTTGTTTTGTAAATAAAAAAATCCCTAGTCAGAAATAAACTGACAAAATTTACATTCTTCTCTCTTAAAAAAGTAAATAAAATAACATTATTTAAAATGTGAATTAGCTATAAGACATACAATACAATTACATAGATACATATCAATACAGCACATTCAATCTGCCAAAAAATTAATGATTACAAAGCCAGTATGGATGTTGCCACACACACCTGTCTGTGTGTGTGTGTGTGTGTGTGTGTGTATGTACAATGATTATAGCTTTCATAATTGCACTATACCTACAACCAGTTTTTACATGGTGTCTCATGAGAGAGAAAAAAATACAACTTTTGTTATTGTTGTTTTGGGGCTGGGAGGGATTAAAGATGAACCACATTTCATTAGTATTTATTGTTAACTTTGGTACTCAACTAGTAAGCCATTCTCCCCCCCTCCCTACCCCCCTCCAATCACTGTTCTGAAGAAGCAATTTCTACATAAGTGCACTCTAGTGCTGCATGGTATTGCAGATAATCAGTCCAACTGATGTCAGACCTCTTGAGTTCTCTGCAGCTCTCTAGTGATCATATGACTGGTTACATTTTTTTTCACCCCAACCTGCAGAATGAGGCCCATAAATGTGTGTGCTGTTTTTGTTCTTGTTTTAAAAAATTGCACATTTAGAGTTCAAAAGTAAGGTTTTTGCTCTTGTGTTTACATTAATAAATCTTTCTATGGAACACAGAGAGGCTACTTTGTATTAAGCCTATTAGATATCTGTTTATCAATTAATAAGCAATTGTATCAAGACAGGTTTCTGAATGTGATTATTACTCATTAGTAATTTCATGTTTCACAACTAAAGGTGCCTTGATATTACTGCAGAAAATGTCCTTTGTATTCTCATACTATCTTTGAGATAAGGACAGACTAAAATTGTCTTTAAATTAGCATAGAAAATATGCACGTGCATGATGCACTTAACAGCATTTTCACTCATGCTGCTGTTTTTGGCATTGAAAATGGAATACTTCCTTAACAAAGGGAACATCTGAGCTAAAACATTAATTTTTTTATCATTTGGCAGTTGCCTCAATCAGGCCATTTCCCAATGAATCAATTTGGCATTTGAATTAGTATCTTACATTTCAAAGCTATTAGTTTTATAAAAAGCCAGGTTTGGCAACATGATTTTAATACAATAAAATATGTTAAAGTTGTGGTCAAAATATTTTAAAAGCTCTAACTAAAACAAACAAAACAAAACAAAAAAGTAAAACAAATAAAACCAACTTGAAAAAACAATATTTCAGGCTGTAGCTACTAGGGAAAACGTAGTGTCTATGGCATTTTTGTTTGGCATCTGTGATTGAAAAGAAAAGAAAAGAAAAGAAAAGAAAAGAAAAGAAAAGAAATGGCACAGAGCAATTAAAATCAATTGTCATATTTCACATTGCCATTTTGCCTTAGTCATTTCATTACTGCCTTCTATGCATCATTTTGATGTGCCATGTTATAGCTAAAGTTAAAATCCATGTTACCACAACTGCTATTTGTGATCCCAGTATTCTAGCCCACAGCATGAAGACAGTTTGCAAAATATCCATGTCAAGAATTTTAAAATCGCAGTATCAATACTTTTAATTTTTTAGAAAAAGTAAATACTGTAACATAAGAATGACTGATGGCTTAAATTGTGATGATAATATTTTCCTGATCAGATCACTGTAGAGAAAACAGTTTATCAAGGAATGCAACTAGGAAAAAAAGGCCATTGTACCTTTGAAAACAATAATAAAATGTAGCGTAGGAAGGGGTAGAGAGTGAGGATGAAAAAAAAAACCAATGGAAAGGGGAAGCCAGTTTGATTTTCCCTCAATAGAAACCCCCCCATCCTTTGCGAGTGCATGACTGAGAATTTAAAATACATTGAGTCACAAGGTTTTGCCTAAAAAATGAGGAAACATGCTGTGAATGTATTTCAGCATCTTTTGTTTTTCCTCAATATAGTTTAAATAAAATCATAATATTTACTACAAACTCTGTGACCATTCACAGAGTCCAGGCCGGCAATAAATTAGTATTATGCAAGTCGTTTTCACAGATAATACAGTCCCTCTTGTACATCTTCAATTGCCCAAAGGGAATTTTGGGGGGCTACTAGGCACAGTTAGACCAGGTTGTACTCCTTCAGGTTTAACTGTAGAATAGTGTCCTTGACAGCAGCAAAGACGAAGCGGATATTCTCTGTGTCTGTAGCGCACGTGAAGTGGGAGTAGATAATTTTGTCACTGTCTGGATTCAGATCTACGAACATCTTCAAAATGAACTCTCGTGCTGCCTGTGCATCTCGTTGTGGTCCTGTTAGGTTAGAAAAGAAAATCAGTTTTGCTAAAGCTAATCAAATGTATGAGCTTCTTTGTTAGAAAGAATCTGACTATGTCTAGCAATAAGTGGAAGAAAATTGTAGTCTGTAATACCTGTACAAGAGAAATAGGGAAATAATATTTTAAAAATCAACTCACACCATGCCCTTGCTCTTTTTTCCCCCTGGGTAGGACCTTTTAAAAATAAAGTTGAGGGAAATTTCGGAGATAAAATTATGCTCTTCAGGCATAAATATTATCCTGCCAATTATTCCCCTTCCCTACCAAGATACCTTATTTAATGGGAAAATGAAATTAGACAATCTGTAACCCCAAAGGATGAGCAAAACAAAAATCAATCTGTTCATAATTAATCTTTCACTAATTTCAAAGCGTTAAGCAGTGTTTGGGCTATTGTAATATAGTGTACATGGTTCAACTAAAATCTATTTTTATGCTGCAGCATTGTACTGTTACAAAGTTGTTAAATTACAAAACTTAATGACCTAACTAATCAATTGTTATTTAAATTACACACAATAATTATCATATTAAATTAAAATTAAGACTGCAATTCTCAGAAGGCACGCAGTCTATGTAAACAGGCTGCATGTTCAGCTATACGCACAAGGCAAATGGACCAAACACTCCCAATTTGGAGTAGTCAATGTTTATCCACTCTATAGCTAGTACCTCAGGGAACTGGCAGGAGGGGTCAATACAGGTTGCTGCTTCCCAGACCAATATATGTGAGAGTGCTCCAAAAGCTGAGAGGCCCCAGAACATCTCAAAGAAAAGATCCCCAGAAATTTTTTTTAAAAGTGGGCAAAGCAACATATTCTTCGCTAGCTCTGTCTTTAGCTATGGCTGAATCATTCTGAATGCATTTTTCCAGAAAAATTCAGCCTGGGGCAGACACTCAGCATGGAAAATTTCAATCCAAATAGTTAAAATCTGTCAAAGTTATAAACAACTGAAAACAGGGTCTTAAAAAGTGTTCTGTGACCTAAACTAAAACCTGGGCCATCTATAAGAACAGAACAGTATAGAATATGAGTACTGTAATTATAATTATATACAGGCAATCCCCGGGTTACGTACAAGATAGGGACTGTAGGTTTGTTCTTAAGTTGAATCTGTATGTAAGTTGAAACTGGCATCAGCCGCTGCTGAAACTGACCAGTTTCAACCGCGGCTGAATCTGGATGCCAGTTCTGACTTATATACAGATTCAACTTAAGAAACCCAGGCATTCCCAAGTCAGCTGCTGCTGAAACTGATCCAATTAGGGTTGAAAGATTACTAAAAAATAATGACTACTCAACTGTCAACTTTCAAAAAAAGACAGAGGCTTATCAAACTAAAATTTGCTGAATTGTAAACTACTATGGCCTGATCCTTCTCTGTGAGTGGACCCCTGCTACTGCACTGACCAATTTCCAGGAACATGACCAAAGTCTCTCAAATCATAAAATAGTGTTTTCCTAATCCCTTTTTTGAAAATTAGGGATACTACCATTCTGAAGCCTCATCAAACTTCTAGCCTAATCTGCTGTTCATTCTCCAGTAGAGACAATGGAACCTTTAGGTTAAGTACTCAGGCCCTTTCGTCCACTTACCAGATGAACCTGGGACTTCACTTCAAATTCAAGCAAAGTCTCCACGCAGATACCTTAAATAATTTCACTTTCATCTCATAAAACCTTCCAGAATGTACATCCTGTGAGTTTCCTTAGCAACTGGTATAGAACCTGCATTAAGGTTCTCTGGAACAGGCACATTAAACCTTGTATAACAACATAAGATTAGAATGAAGGAAACTCCTCTGTCCCAGCTCCCCTCGAGCGCCCGATCTGCTGCCCCACCTCCCGCCACTGATAGAGGCAGCAAACACATAGGGTCAGGGAGGTAGGTGGGAGCCGATAATCTCAGGGAAGCGGCTGTCAGAGGCTGGGAGAGGTTGTGTGTGTGTGTGTGTGGGAGGGGAGGAGGGAGGAAGAAGGGGGGAATGAGGAGGAGTGAGAGGGGCCTGCTGCGGAGCAGTCTCTGTGTGCGGCAGGCCCAGACTCACTGCGGAGAGAGGCTGCTCCATGGGATGCCTGTGCAGCCTCTACCGTGGTGAGCTTGGACTCCCATGGACAGGGGCTGCCTGCCGCCTTGCACTGCTGCTTCTGTTTTTAAAATGACTCCTCTCATGTACAGGCTCCCACCTGGTGCCCTGCCTCCGCAGATTATCAAATAGTCGTGTAAATGCTAAAATTTGGTGCAGTTACATGACTATTCAATTACATGTTATCTAACATCCCCAATGAAAATCTACTTGATAGTCTACCACTTTTCTTATTGCCATTATAAAAAAATGCTGCAAGTCTGTGGACTATTTGAGTTCATTAGAAATTCTCAAAATAACTATTTTCTTTTGTATTTTTTCCCTTTTCACATGTTTTTGAATCTAGTATATTACATGTCCAGCTTCCCAACCATAAGGTTAATCATTTGACACCACGGCTACGTCTACACTGGCACCCTTTTCCGGAAATGCTTAAAATGGAACAGTTTTCCATTATAAGTATTACCAGAAAAAGCGCATCTACATTGGCAGGATGCTTTTCCGGAAAAGCACTTTTTCCGGAAAAGCGTCCATGGCCAATGTAGACGCGCTTTTCCGAAAAAAAGCCCCGATCGTCATTTTCGCGATCGGGGCTTTTTTGAGGAAAAGACTACTGTGCTGTCTACACTGGCCCTTTTCCGGAACAGTTTTTCCGGAAAAGGACTTTTGCCCAAACAGGAGCAGCATAGTTTTTCCGGAAAAACACCGACAATTTTACAGTAGATCGTCATTGCTTTTCCGGAAAAGCAAACGACCAGTGTAGACAGTTGGCAAGTTATTCCAGAAAAGCGGCTGCTTTTCCGGAATAAGTGGCCCAGTGTAGACACAGCCCATAAGTATAAAGTCTAATAACTTTGCAGACAATAGTTGATTATTATTGCAGTACAAGATTCTATATGTCATATAAACCAAATGCATTTTTAAGCAATGGGTACTGGAAAATTCTCTCTGGAATTTAGACAATGCTATTTACCACATATCATCATTTTAGTGCAAATGATCTCCAGTTCTGGAGCATGAATTCTGGTGATGCAATATTACTTACCATCATACTCTGGGAAATAGTCAACTAGATGGGAGTACATAATTTTCTCCTCTAGAAGATCTTTTTTATTTAAGAACAGAATGACGGAAGAGTTCTGAAACCATGGATATGTGATAATTGTCCTAAACAGTGCTTTGCTTTCCTCCATTCGGTTCTGGAAGAAAATAAGAAAAATAGAAAGGAAATGATGTGGTCACAAAATATGTCCGTTGTACTGTATTTATTTTACAAACTGAACTATTCCTATTCCATCATATGAATTTTCTTGTTGCTTTTTGGGGCTTCAAGTCACAATTTCTTTATAAATAGTTTGTTAAATTTGTACAGGTTGAGACTTCATAATCCGGAATTCCCTAGTTGGGCAACACTAGGTCTGGCATCGTCAAGGATAAACTGGCGGGCTGGGACCAGGAGCATTTCCAGACTAAGAGGCCAAGAGAGCAGAGCCCCAGGAGGCAGTGTGAGCTCTCCTCCCCCCGGCAGAAGCAGACCTTCTAGGGAGAGCCCCGAGCTCCAGGCAGCAGCAGGAGCCACAAAGAAGAGCCCCAAACTCTAGATGGCAGTGAGGGAGCCGCTGGGGAGAGCCCTAAGTTCTGGGCAACAGCAGCAGCTGCTGGGAAGAGTCTAGAGTGGCAGCCACCTGGGAGAGTTCAGAGCTCTGGGTGGCAGCCTGACACTCCCCCGCTCTCCAAGAGAAAAGTGGGGAGGGGGAGCCAAGCCCCCTGCCTATGGGGAGAGTGCAGAGTGGAGGGATCAGAAAGCAGAACCTTCTCCCCTCTCCCCCACTGAGGGGCGAGCAGAGCCCCTGGTGGCAGCGGGATGGCCAAGAGGAAATGCAGAGCCCCTGGCGCATTGACCTCCCATGGTCCAGTAGATTCCCCGGTTTGAGACCTGTCAGGTCCCCAGGGTGCCAGACCAGGGATGTTCCACCTATAGGATATTACAGTGATGCAAGTTGAGGCTAATATACGTTAAATATTTTTTTAAATGGGCCATGAATGTTAACCATGTATTAGGAACTGACAAAATATGGCTATTCATATATGCAGAGGGCCACCATCACAAACCTGCATTACTGGAAAGTGTGTGGAGAGCAAGCTAAATCTACAAGCATAAGAGCCAAGTTAAAAAAGAGAGTATTTTCTTTTGTTTTCAATTTCCTAATTTTTGTTGGCTTTGTGTTCCAAACTTAACTGCTTACTCACTACTGAAACATGACGGATTAGTATTACTGTTTTCACCATCCTGAAATTTATAACAGTCAGAAAGGACTTGCCTCTATTACAACATTTTATTGTGTTTTAAAATAATTGAGAAAAGTTTAATTATCTGACACGATGCAGACTTTACTTAGTGGTCGGTACGAACTAGGTTCAGCATTGTCTCAGCTAACCACAGCAAAACCCTTCTTCCTCCTCTCCTATGAATAGCTCTAAAGCACAACTCTCATCCTTATACTGCACAACAGCAGCAGCAGCATTAGAAGAGTGAAAGGATTGTTAAAGTCTAGCCATTGCCTGCAGGGTTCTAAAGAGTCACAATAAAGAATCAGGGGCCCTGCTAATTTTACTCCTGCTTGGCTAGACGCCCCACCATAGGCATGGAAGCTTCATGTATGTAGACAAAGATAATGCATCATAGTTTGATTTTATTTACTTGGGTGTTTTTGTATATTTTACATTCAGTTCCTTTGTGAAGTTAACTTTACATGCAGGCTAGGAACATTTGTATCAATTCAGCAGAAATTGATGGATTAGTTCTCTTGTACAGGGAAAGTTTCCTACTAGTGGATAAACTGGAATTTTCAAAGCCCTGCAATAATTAATTAAACCTCTAAACATACTTTTCAGACAGTAACTATGGGAAAACTAAAACACACAAACTGGGATCCACACCAGGACTTAGGCATCTAAGGTACCTTTTTTAGATGCCATTGTACAGGCAGTCCCCGAGTTACGCGGATCTGACTTATGTCGGATCCGCACTTACGAACGGGGCTCTCTCGCGCCGGAGCTCGCAGGCAGCGGGACCGTCCAGAGCGCAGCGGTCCCGCCACCTCGACATCCGGGACAAGAAAAGCTGCTCCGGGTGCCCCTGGTCTGCTGGGGACCGTCTCCAGCAGACCAGGGACACCTGGAGCAAAGCCGTGGCTTTGCTCCCCGTGTCCCTGGTCTGCTCAGGGGGGTGGGGGAGGGAGGGCGCAGCTAGTGCGCCCCCCCCCCAGCAGACCAGACTTTTGTTGTGGACCCAGGGTAGAGCAGCTGGGGTGCTGCCGGGTTGGTCCTGCAGGGACCTACCCGGCAGCCCAGCTGTTCTGTCCCAGGCTCGAGATTCAGCCGCTGTTGAAACTGATCAGTGGCTGATTCCAGGAAGCTGGGGGCAGAGCAATTCTGTCTCCAGCTTCCTGTAGTCAGCCCCTGGTCAGTTTCAGCAGCAGCGGCTGAATCTGGAGCCAGTTCCGACTTACATACAAATTCAACTTAAGAACAAACCTATAGTCCCTATCTTGTACGTAACCCAGGGACTGCCTGTATTCCGCAAAACTCATGCTCAGCTGCTGCCTAACCTCATAGGTACCTAAATTCACTCAGCACCTATATTTTTGCAGTTGAAGTTCCTTAGGCATATATGTTCCTCCTTTTGGGCACGCACCCTGCTGCCTCGCTCTAGGCATCTGGGTATCTATCTTGCACTGAAACAGCAGAGTGATCCACACACCTGCGGAAGATACATGTTTTGGCTGCCTAAGTCACATGGGGGGTCCCAACTGGTAGATACGCTCAGAGGCTGCCTAACTCCACACAAAGGAGCTAAAGGGGTGTGAGAGGAGGTAGCCACCCTTATAACTTTAATCCAGGTAGGATATTCAACTCCCACTGAATTCAGTGAAACCAGGATATCATGCATAAAGCTTATCTGATTAATTTAAGATCATTACATCACGACACTGGCATAGCTGGGCACAGAATCTAAATCATTGGTCTGTGATTTAAACACCAGGTCATGCTTCTTCAACATTTTGTATAGGCTTCTTGCCACAAACCTATGCCCAAGTCTATTTATAACTCACAATAGTAATTAAATTAAAATAGGTTTTTATTTCCAGTTTACACTTCTTAATCATAGAGCTGCATCATAAGTTCATTTGATAAATCCAGCTACATTTCTGAATCCCGACTTTTGATAACAAAGTTTGATTCCACTCCCCTAATTCCTAACTAAATTTGGCATTTGCAGATACGTGAGTGTAAGTCTTTGTGAACTGACAGTATGTTTTCCTTCCACAACAAATTAAAAGCCATTGTAAACACTTTAAAACTTATGAATAATTAGCAAAGTGCACAGGAAATACAATGGCTTAAATTATTAATGCAAACTTGAATTATATGCCCTTTGCAGAACTCTTAATGGGAGTTGAAACATGCTCATCCAGCTATCTGACAGTAATGCAGAAGCAACAGAGAGGTAGCCGTGTTAGTCTGATAGTGGTAAAACAAAAAAAGCAGTCATGTAGCAATTTAAAGACTAACAAGATGATTTATTAGGTGATGAGCTTTTGTGGGGAAGACCTGAAGAAGTGGGTCTGCCCCACGAAAGCTCATCACCTAATAAACCATCTTGTTAGTCTTTAAAGTGCTACATGGACTGCTTTTTTTGTTTTAATGCAGAAGCTTCGTGCTCTGTTTTTTTACAACACACTGTTATACAGACAAAGCATGCCAGTCTATAGTAGGGATGTTAGCATATAGTCGTGTAAACAATTAACTGATAAGTTTGAACCTTATAGGTTAATCCTAATGACTACATGCACACTGCCCTGACCTTGCCGTTGATAGATTTTCTCAGTGCTTTGAGCTTGGGTGAAAGCTGTCTGTCACTCAGCCCACTTGAAACAAAGGCAATATTTGTGGGTGAGAGAAAATCACTAAAGGAAATGACAGAGGTAACACCTGCTCCTTATCCGATGGAATTTGTCCACATTTTGGTACTTCAAGGTTGCAATTTTGTGAGTTTTCACTGAATCCTAAGTTATTTCTTGAAGTTCCGATAGTAACAGTGGCTTTTTTCCTTCCCCGTCTGCACTTGGTAAATGGGATATTCTATTTTCCTTTACATGTGGACTGTATTATAGTTATAATTAGGGGTCTACCAAATTCACAGTCCATTTTGATAAATTTCATGGTCAGAGGATTTTCAAAATATGCCATGTCATGGATTCAGATATTAAAATCTGAAATGTTATGGAGTTTTAACTCTGGGGGTCCCAACACCAAAGAAGGTTGTGGGGAGTCTGCAAGACTATTGTGGAGCTGAGGTACTGCCACCATTGTGGCTGGCCACAGCGTTGCCTTCAGAGCTGGGCAGCCACAGAGCAGCAGCTTCTAGCCAGGCATCCAGCTCTGAAGGCAGCACCACTGCTATCTGCAGGGCAGAAGTCAGGTTGGGAATACCATACCATGCCACCCTGGCTTCTCCGCTGCTGCTAGAGGCAGTGCTGCCTTCAGAGCTGGGCTCCCACCCAGTATGTAGATGCTGAGCTTCCAGTATTCAGGGGAGGTTCCTGGAGGAAGGTCTGAGCCAGCCCCTGGAGCAGCCTGTGCTAGGAAAATGAAGTCACATCCCTCTCCTGCTCAGCAATGACTAGCTTGGCTTGCTGTGTGTTTTGGGGGCAATTTGGGGTGACCATGGCACCCTTCCAGCTTAATGCCTTGGACAAGTTGTTCATGTTGCTCCCTAAGTCACAACCCCCCATAGCATGCCACCCTCACTTCTGCCCTGGTACTGGCAGTGGTGATACCTTTAGAACTAGGTGTCTTCCCAACAGCTGACGGTGTCCAGCCATCCAGCTCTGGAGTCAGCACAGAAGTATGGGCAATATGCGACCCCCCTCCAACAATAATCATGGGGTGAGGGAATTTCATGGCTCATGATGAATTTTTCACAGCCATGAGTTTGGTGGGGACCTCATCATAATAATCACTTCTAGGCTGGATTATTGCAGTGACCTCTGCAAGGGAAGAAGCTTGAAGCTCACCAGCTGCACCCCCATACTCCACCACTCCCGCTCAAATCCCATGCTTGCCCTGCCTCTTCCTATCCCTGCACTGCCTCTTTCCTCACGGTTCTGCCCCTTCCCCTGAGTACGCCCAGTCC